AAGGGTGAAATAGGTGAAGGGGATTAGAGGTACAAACTTCCAGTCATAAAATAAGTAAGTCATGGGGATGTAATGTACAGCACAGGGAATATAGTCGACAATATTGTAATAACTTTGTATGATGACAGACGGTAACTAGTCTTATCAGGGTCATCATTTTTTAACGTAAATAAATGTCGGACCTCTATGTTGTACACCTGAAACTAATGAGATATTGTATGTCAACTAAACTTTAATTTTTTAAAAAAGATACAGAAAAAGGGAAGGTAGCTCCACTGAGTTTAGTTTTACCGAATGCCTTAAAATACACATTGACAAAATATAAGTGCATTCAGCACAGAAGATAATGGGCAGGCTATGTTAAAGTCAACATCTATTTAACAAATATGTATTGAGTACCTACAATGTGCCAGGTACTGCATGAGGCACTCAAAAACAATTAATCGACAGAGAATGTTTAGCCCAAAAAAGCCTCAAAATGAAGGGACTGAACTGCCTTCAAATTATTAAAAACTTTTTAGGATGGAATCAAGGTCTATTCTGAGTACCTCCGCAAGACAAAAAAAAGACCAATATGTGAACAGGCATGTAGTCATCACACAAATAAAATTAATCACCAGAACTAATTATGATGATGATTATGGTAACTAATGTGCTTTGAGTACATAGTACAATTCTATACCATGCTCTTTTCTAAAATACTTATGTAAATTATCTTATTTAATATTCAGAATAATCTTATGAAGTTCATACTATTCTTAATCTTCTTGTATTTATGCAAAGCAAGTGTTCAGAGAAGTAACTAACTTGGATCTTGGATTGTTGCTGAGAGGCAATCGGAACAGCCTGATGAATCTCAGAGCCTGAGCTCTTCATATTTTTACAGGAGGAGATGGGTTCCTCACCACGAAAGTGTTCAGAAAGAATCACTAAGAAATGATCTAGAATGGATTGCCCATGGGACTGAAGTGTTGTTTATTCAACAAGCACTTATGAAGCACCAGCTATGTACATGATATTTTGAGCTGCAAAGAGAAAGAAGGGATAGTGAATGGTCCTGCCCTTGAGAGCTTACAATCTAGCGAGAGAGAAACACATATAAAATAATACAATCACATGATAAAGGCAATGAGAAGAGTATGTAAAATAACAGTGGACATGAGATACAAACTTAACCCGAAGAGGAGGGAGGTCAGAGAAGGCCTCAAAAGAGAGATGACTTTAACCTAGGTCCTAAAGGATGTATAGGATTTTGCCATATGGAAAAGCAGGTTGTAGTCATTCCAGGCAGAAGTGGTATGTTGTTAGGGATTAATGATGGCCATCCATGGCCATGATTAGTGGGGACACCAAGGGAATTGGGAATGATCTCCTGGTGCCTTTAAAGCCACTATTCACCTACATGCTCCACCAGCACATAAAGAGAAATGGAAAAGGCCCTAATGCTTATAGCACACCTTTGATGCTCCATCCCTCTGCAAGGAAGCTGCCTGCATTATTTAACCTGATCCTCAAGGAGAGGTAGAAAGATGGAGGGCAAATGCAACACCAGTCTGTGTAATTCCAAAGCCAACAGGGGCAAATTTTATTATATTCTCTAAATTATCCACAACGACAAGGGTGAGTTGAGTGGGTGGAGTGTCTGAGAGGTGAAACAATAATTTCCATAGACTGTCTCATCCAACTTCACCATGAAACACTAATAGGCATGAAAAGAAATGGAATTGGCATGGTCACT